CCGTTCTCTTAGGTTTTCTTCGACCGTTTCCTTTCCCTCTCTTTGGAATAAATAACGTTTGGTGGCGACTCTTCTATTTGTTTTCCGCCGGCCTTTTTCGCAGTTGTGACACTCAAAGTTTGATATTTTTCAGAAGCCACATTTCATCAGAGGCAGTTTCTCAGACTCTAATTGAAGCTACTTCTAAGCAACGTCAAACTTTGATACTCTAATTAGAAACAAGCATTAATCTTCAATAAAGACAATGTTCAATTTTTTTTATAAAATCAAATCTTTCAATAGCTAAGAGTTTAATAAATATGTCAGCCTATTGATGATCAGTATCAATGAATTGAATATTTATAATGCCCTTCTGAACATAATCTCTAATGAAGTGATGTTTAATATCAATATGCTTGGTTCTAGAGTGTTGAACGAGATTCTTTGTTAGACAGATAACAACATTATTATCATAAAAGATAGGGATACTGCTTCCACAAATCTGATAATTCTCTAGCTAATATTTCATCTAGAGTAGTCGTGTATAACATTTTTGCAGCAGACATGTATTCTGCTTCTGTTATAGATAGGCAATAATTGCATGTCTCTTACTAGCCCAGGATATTAGGTTTTCACCTATGAATTGACAGTTTCCACTAGTGGATTTTCTCTCAATTCTATCCCTAGCATAGTCAACATCACAAAATCTAACCAACTTATAACCTAGGGAATTTTTATAAAGAAGTCATAGATTTGTTGTTCCTTTCAAATACCTAAAGATTTTCGCAAGACTAGTTAAGTGAGTTTCTTTAGGATTTGATTGAAATCTTGCACACAGACACACATTAAATAGTATATTAGACCTATAACTTGTGAGGTAAAGCAAAGAACCAATCATATCTATACAACTTTTGATCCACCTTAGAGTTACCTTCCTCCTTGTTCAGACTGCAGTTTGGGTGCATATGAGTTTTCATAATCTTACAGTCTTCAAGATTAAACATATTCAGAAGCTCCTTTGTGTACTTGGACTGGTGAACATAAGTTCCACTTTTACTTTGATTGATTTGGATTTCCATGAAGAATTTCAATTCTCCTATCATGCTCATCTCTAATTCAGCCTGCATAGTCTTAGAAAATTCTTTGCATAGAGAAGCATTACCAAAAATATGTCATCAACATAAACTCGGACAATTTAGATTTCCTTATTCAGAGTCTTTTTAAACTGTGTAGTGTCAACTTTCCCCTTTTGAAAACCATTTTCCAATCAAAAATTACTCAATCTCTCATACCAAGCTCTAAGAGCTTATTTGAGTCCATAAAATGATTTGTTAAGTTTAAATACGAAATATGAGTGGACTGAGTCATTAAACCCAGGCGGTTGCTTGACATACATCTCTTCAGAATTGACTCCATTTAAGAAGGAACTCTTAACATCCAGCTGATATAAAACAATATTATGGTTAATAGCATAAGAGAGAAGAAGTCTGATAGCTTCTAACCTTGTCATAGGTGAAAAGATTTTAGAGAAATCTATACCTTCATGTTGAATGTAACCTTGAGCTACCAGTCTAGCCTTATTTCTTACTGTTTCTCCTTGCTCATTTAATTTGTTCTTGAACACCCATTTTGTTCCAATAATGTTTTTCTGACTTGGTCTTGGAACTAGATCTCAAACATCATTCTTCAAGAACTGGTTCAAATCTTTTTGCATAACTATAATCCATCCATCATCTGATAAGGCTTCATCCATATAATATGGCTCGAACAAGGAAATAAATCCTAGCATATAGTTTTCATCTCGAAAATTTGATCTAGTCCTTAAGGGCTCATCTTTATTTTCAATTATTAGCTCTTCTGGATTAGAGGCTTTATATTTGAAGTACTTCTTGGGAGGAGATGAAACTTTTGAACCATCTTGGGCTTCTTAAATTTTTTTAACTTCTGGTGAGCTTCAGTAGTTGGAACAACTTTTGGTTCACAAGCTTTTGACTCTTTAGCTTCTAAGCTCTTAACTTCTGAAGGACCAGTTTCTAGATACACTTCAGAAACCTGAAAAACTGCAAAGCTTTAAATAGACTCCTCAACCATTTTGGTTTCAGAGTTATACACCATGTACGCTTTAGATCAATTAGAGTATCCTAAAAAGATACCCTTTTGAGCCTTAGCATCAAATTTCTTTAGATATACTTTATTGTTCTGAATGCAGCATGTACACCCGAACTGATGAAAATAAGATATGTTTGGATTTCTTCCTTTAAAAAATTCATATGATATTTTGTTTAAAATTGGTCTAATGTAGATCCTGTTCTGAACATAGAAAGAAGTATTAACAGCTTATGCCCACAAGTATTTAGGAAGATGATTCTCACGAATCATGATTCTAGCCATTTCTTGCAATGATCTATTCTTTCTTTCTATAATCCATTTTGTTGTGGATTTCTATGAGAAGATAACTCATGGATAATTCCATTCTTATCATAAAAAAATCTCAAAAGGCCTGTATTCAAACTCACCACCATGATCACTTCTAACTTTTAGAATTTTTTATTCCTTTTCAGAGTGAACTTGTGAGCAGTAGATGTTGAACACCTCATATGATTCATCTTTGGATCTAATAAATTTAACTTAAGTCCACCTACTATAATCATCAGCAATGACCAATCCATACTTCTTTCCATTGATTGAAGCAGTCCCAACAGGACCAAATAAATCAATGTGAAGTAATTCTAAGGATTTAGAGGTTAAGACAATTTTTTTAGATTTAAAAGAGGTTTTGTTAATCTTTCTTACTTGATAGACTTCCTTTTTGTCCGAGCCTTTTCCTGATAAAAGGGTCTAGACTCATTCCAGACTTTTCACTTGTAAGAGCTTTGTCTAGGATAAGTTATAAATTTGACTTTTGAACCCTTCAGAACCTTTTATCCATAAGTCTTAGATTTTGATATCTTTAGAACCTTTAACTAGAAATTTTTGGGTTTTGGGTTCTTCAGAACCTTTGATTTTTGAATGTTAGGTTCTGATTTCTCCAAGACCTTTGACTTTGAAGTCTCAGATACTGATTTCTTCAGAAACTTTGATTTGATTATCTTAGGTTCTAATTGGTTCACAATTTTACCTTTATCAGAGGTAGGCACAAAACAAGTTCTCATCACTGTTTGAGCACTGCTTGAAGAAGAAGCGTCCGATGGTTTTTCTAAGAGTTGAGCTTTTGGATTAGCACATTTCTCATTATAGCCCAGACCTTTTCCTTTGTTCTTGCTTACTCCATATATCATGGAAGCGAGTTGTGTTCTCTCAAAACTAGTTATGATAAAATCTTGAAGATCCATTTCATGCTCACTCAAGGTTTTATCAAACACTTTATTTACTCGAGCAATGTGATCTTTTTCCAAATATTCAATTTTATCTTGAGAAGTTTTTAGTTCTTCTTTCAGAAGATCACATTGCTTTCTCAATGCTTTCACGTGTCTTGCCTTGTCTTGGCACCGACTAATGAGTTCTTGAATGAAAGAGATTATATCAGAATAAGATAATTAGAAAATACCCCGTCTTCTTCGTCAAACTCCAAATCAGAATTTGATTCATATTTTGTCAGGGGATGTGAGAGTCATACGTACCAGATTTGCTTTCCCTCATCCTTATGTGAAGGATCTTCATTATCAAGTTCATCCCATGTTGTCACGAGACTCTTCTTAAATTTGCTTCTGAAGTTGTCCTTTTGGAAGCTTCATTTCTCTGCTTCTAATAGAGAATCTTTTGTTCCTTTTTGACAGTTGTTGAAACCTCCTGATGATAAAAGTCATTTCCTCGTCAACAGTCACCATCCAAAACCTCTTCATCACAAGCTTCTTATGATTTCTAGACTTTTGAGAATTTAACAGCTTTACCATCAAAACCTCCTCATCACAAGCTTCTTATGATTTCTAGACTTTTGAGAATTTAACAGCTTTACCATCAAATCTTTCGGTTACCATTCAGATCCATTTCAAGGTTATGAAGATTGCTTATTAGACTTTCAAGGCTTAGTGTATCCAAGTAGCCTCTTGAGTAGTTGTAACCTTAGGTTTGTATATAGCAGGAAGACTTCTCAAAATCTTCTTTACATGGTCAGATGTAGTATAACTTTTGCTCAGATCTTGAAACCTAGAAAATATGGTTTCAATATCATGACAGACTTGCAATTGCTGATGCATACAGTCCACGAACGTTTTGGCCACATGACGACAATCACACAATTAACAGTAAACGCCAAATTACATTTATTAAACAACCACTAATTCCAGCAGGGCATAATCAATTCAATCAAATCAAATTAAATAGATAAAGTCTATAATGGACCAATTATCAATTTGACATAAGAATGGACCTTTAAGGCATCAACAAGTTTTTTCATATATGGATTGTATAAGAAAACAGACGAATTTGATTAAAACATTTTTGTCTCTCTCTCTTAGCAAAACATAACCGTCGCTTACCGTTTGGACACAAACGTCAGGCTTAGAGATAATTTATGTTTCACAACCAAACACCAAACATGGATTCACAGGGCAATGGATTTGACTTCTCTGAGGAATGTGAGATTATTAAATTTGATAAAAGATAGTGTAAATTATAGCTGATTATTGAAAATTTCCAGAGCTTAGAATATTATCAAATACAACGGTTAGATTTATCCGTTAATCAGCTATGATTCCACACTTTCCCTTTAAAGGGCACTCACTCTTCCCTTTAGAGAAGCCAAATACATGGTAATGAAGACAACCAAGAGAAATGATTATTCGAAAGTATCAGTTGAGAATCCCAAATTACATTTAGCTGTTGAAGATGGAGTTATAAACTTTTGACACAATATCTCATATTCATACAAGTTCCAATAGACATGTAACAGGAAACTAGGAGGAATGTGGACTCCAAAATAGTATTAGACAATTCCTCTAAATTTTTTCCATTTCAATTTGATAGTTAATAGCATACACTTCCACTATTGTTATTTGAGACCATAAGTATCCACCCAATTGTCAAGCGCCGCTGGCGTATAATCTGGTCCACTCCTTGGCTGCAGATGAAAAATACCACAATTTACACAAGAGACTGACTATACAATCACATAGCATCTTTGATGCCATAACTAAAAAACAACAAACTTTGATGTAATCAAGCTAGTAGAAGAGAGATACCTGTCTCAACAGCCTCAGCCTCATTCGATTTCCAATGCTTGGCAATGTTCTCAGAAAGTGGATCATCTGGATTTGGTGCACTCAAAAGAGCTTGAATACTATAATAGAGCCAACAAAATTTGCATTATCAGTAAAATATTATATCCAACTTAGTGCAGATTAATTTTACAATAGCTGTCTTTCCACAATGTTTTGCCCATCAACTCAGAAATCAAAACCAAGATCCACCTGGACCCGTCACATACAAACTGAGCAAGTCACCACAAACAATCTGTGTTACTTCTTGCTCCCCCGTCCCTCTTTCATGCAATTAACTAGTAAATTGACGGTGTAAAAATTATTTAAGATAATGCATAAAAAAATTAGTTTCATAAACGTTTCTTTTCCAGAATTGAAGACCTCTACTCTCACACATGGACCTATTTGCTACAATTTTTCAGGAAATGAATTGCTCAATCAAAAAGTACATCCAAGAGTGTATAAGATGAAAATTAAATTACCTCAAAAGAACAGTGCGAATCTGAAGGGCAGGACTCCACTTATCTTTCAGAATATCAAGACATATTCTCCCAAGCTGCATCAAACTTTAACTTGTATGAAAAGTTGTCATCAAAGAAGAAACGAAAAGTAAGGGAAACAAAGCATACCTTATCAATGTTAGGGTGATATATTTTTGTCAGGAACCTAACCTGGAAGAACCAAGGCATGATTGAAAAAGGAATAAGAATGATTAGAGATTTTTTTAGATAAAAAGGCACACTTCAAATTTTTCCTAAGGTTTATTATCACAAGAATCAAAGCCAGAAAAGAAAAGACAATACTGCATAATCACAATTCTAAGTGTAGACATAATTAAATTATCCTTCAGAATCAAAACAATAAAAAGAACCTCCTGCTAGACCTCTCCGGCCGAGCAGGTTTATGGACCTGAAATGCTGTAAATCCGCTTTGACGTCTTTAAACTGGTCAAAATGTAATGAAGAATAAAAGAATGAAAATTATGCAACAAACCATAGTCCAGATTCAAACTCAGTAAACTTAGCAGCTTGCACCTTACGCAACCATTAAGCCATTTAGCAGTTGTTTTACACTGAAGCATATTGACTAATACACTACTACCTCCATCCCTGAATATAAGATCCTTCTAAGAAAAAAAAGCTGTCACTTTATAGGAGAAAAAAAACTCTTCGAATTTTCAACTCCGTTAATTGTTTCTTTACAATCATGCCTGTTTATTTTACATCCTTTTTTGCAGTCAACAAACAATACTGTGAGGGGGATATAAACCAACTCTCTTTCTTGAAGGATAAATTTACAAAAACGATATCAAATTTAATACCACCACCAACTTACTTACATCCAGTGATTTTGTCAAGAGGGTATTACATTTAGGGACACCAGTAGTATATATTAAGTACAAGGATTTTAAGAGACATAGTTTCCATACATTCAAAGATAACACAGAAGTGCTGAGATAGATTCTTTTACTGAACACTCAAATTAGCAATGGTCTCAAAATTTACAAATGAGTATCCTAGACAATATAGGAAAAAAGCATTATATACCATCCCAACTTTTTAAGAAAATATTTCAAATTCATTACAAAATAAAAGCATGTTATGACTTTTTCAGGTAAATGTATAGGATAAGCTAACAAATGAAGGAGAAACTACTTTTTAGCTGAAAGCTTATAAGTAAAAAGTTAGCTGATTGAATTTTCAACTGAACTACTTCTGAAATATAAAATGACATAATAAAATGTTGATATGACTTTATATATGAAGGACAAGGCAAGGTTTGCACAAGTGTGTGCAATAAGTTTAAATTTTACAGGATATCCGTCCCAGGGCCTTTACAAGTTTGGCGGTTCTATTAGATCATCAAATATCAAGGCATGAAAAATATAGTAACTAAAACCCTTTAAAAAGTTTACAAATAAAACTAAATTATATTCCTCTTGGAAGAGAAGAACACGGCAGAAACATAACAGTTCACAACAAAATAATACCACTGCAGATGAAAAAAAATGAAAATGGTTCAATTAAGTACCTTGGGAGCAGCCATTGGATATTCTTCAGGCAAAAATAGTTCTAGCTTGAAAACCCCCCCTAATAATACAAACAAGAAACTTGAACGTTAGTGTGCGACTTTTTATTGCGGTAGAAAAGAATTAACAAATATTCAGTATCAACGAGCTAATCCTTATTCAGTAATCTATTCCTTTCCAAATCCTAAAAGCTGACAGGGGGGTGTGGGTGCTACCATGAGACACACCAAGCATTATATTTGAACTGCATGGTGCACTATCAGTATGAAGCGACCCATAACGCTTATAAGGTGTCAACTTCTTGAAAAGGAAAAGTGGTGGAAAGAGTATAACTTTCCACAATTAATCCAATCAAGTGCTTTAAATCATGCATGACTGAGCTGTCTTACTAGTATGTAAGGAACCATTATGGCTTTAAAATAGGGCGACCTATAAGCTAATAAGGTGTTAACTTCTTGAAAAGGAAAAGTGGTGAAAAGAGTATAATCTTCCACAATTAATCCAATCAAGTGCTTTAACTCATGCATGACTGAACTGTCTTACTAATAGGTAAGGAACAATTATGGCTTTAAAATAGGGCAAAATAAAGAGTAAAATAGATGACTCGCACAAGCAAGGATTAGAGTATAGTAACCATCTATTTAACCAACCCAATCTTTTTAACTTATTAGCTCTTCTTTTTTAAATTCTAATGTTCGACCTCAACAAACCAACCACTTGGTGCACCAAAGCACAATTACATTCAAAGAAATAAGCTCATAAATTATCCACTTAAAACTGATTAGAGTATACACGCATGGGACACAAATGTTGCATAGATGTGGTAAAATTATACGGCATGTGTGTTAAGAGACAATTATAAACATGTAGTATTAATTTAGCATGAACAAAAAAGCACATCAAACCTTAATTTGGAAAGAAAAAAAGACATCCGTATCTCAAACTTTAGCAAATCAGTAGCCATTGTAGAAAAATCATTAGGTATACTACCATTAGGAGAGGTGGAAAAAATCAAAAACAATACTGAAAAATGTATGTATAGCTTATAAGTATCCAATAGTATCTAATTATCCAACACAGTTTGTGAGTTGACTCTAATACGATAACCATTTTGAAGAGTTAGTGGTTCACACTTTGTAGGTGAAAAGCAATGCTCATAACATGAACTACATTTAATTTAGTTTGGTCATCAACAAATGTTTTGGTAAACAAGCTGTTACTTTGTATTACCTAACAGTGTCAACCTGCACATGCGGCTACAAAGTACTTTACTTTCCATGTGCACGAGAACAACAACTTATAGTAATTGGCTATTTGTCCATATATGTGGTGAAAGTTGTAAATATAATGCAAATAACAGTCAGAAAAAAAAATTTCCAGCTCAGTGATAAGCATAGAGGATAGCCATGTGCACCAAGATGATGCACCTAGAAAAGAGTTCGAGTTGGTGTAGACAGAGGTTAGACACGTGATAAGAAGACAAGACAAGACTATTAACGGAATCACTTAACACTTAACCTCATTGCTTAAACAGGTTAAACAGGTTAAACAGCTGTGAGAATCAGATATTCTAAAATTAATAACTGACTAAAATGAATTGACATAACACTTAACCTCATTGCTTAAACAGGTTGCCCAACAAGACTATTAACGGAATAACATTTACTATAACTAGCAGGCTTCTTGTAGCATCAAACATCAAAAAGCTAATGTTGAACTCAGGTTTATCAAATTGCAGCGCCATGGCCGTTATGGTGAATATGCATGGCAGTTATTGGGCTTGCCACAATAGTAAATAATTGTCGATACTGTGAGGTTTTACGCTATAACCGCGCCACAAAGCGGCTGGTATGGCGGGAATTGGGCTCTCCGCCATGGACTTTTATCCGCCAATGACAACACTTGATTGAAAAAGAGGTGAAAAGCTGATATATCAATGTCAGAAATGAAACAGTACCCTTTCATAACCATTCCCAAAATAAGTCTGCATTTCGAAGAATAATTATTTATAGAAAGCAACAAAACACTATTCAAATGCCGCAAATAAATCCGGAACTCAATTTCCTTCCCATTTTAAGCAAAGATTAAAACAACTATGCATTTCTAGGTCTAAAACCAAGTTGTTAGGGTTATCACTACCTTCATAAGGAGACTGAGTTGGGCCGAGGATCATCACATTGAAATATCGCATATTGTCTTCCGAAGGGGACGCACTAATTCCTGGTGCTGCATCATCAAATCAAGTATAATAAAACAACACAGCCAAACAATAACAACAAGGAAATAACACTTAACATAAATCATAAATCACCAACATAAAATTCAACGTGCCTTACAATATATAAATATTAAAACAAAATCAAAAACCACAAAAGTTTACCTGGCTCACTGAGCAAACGCTGCGTTTCCTGATGAGATCAAAGCAAAAAAAGTGAGTAAAAATTTCTAAAAGATCAAAATCAAACCAAACCGAACACTACAATTCATAACCAACAAAGATCAAAAAGGCTGAAACGGAAGAGTTGAATCTACGATTAAGCACACAAGACTTTGATTAAGCTAGGTTTTCCGTTCAATCAAGTAATAGTCGAAAATCAATTGAACAAGATTTCAACAATTCTAGGTTTTCAAATCGGAAAAAGTTAATCGATCATAGAAGTTGAAATAGGGATCTTAACAAAGAAACAGAAACAAACCTTGATGATTCTTCGGGGAAGGTTACTGTTGGCCATTGCTGGGTCGATTGCAAAATACGCAATAGGGGTTTGAGAGTTGCTGAGGGAAGAGAGAGAAATGAAGGTTTCTCTCACTAACACAGATGAAATGAAAATAACATTCTCTGCTTCCTTTATTATTTATACGACTTTTGATTTTGCTTTCAGAATTATTTTAAGAATTATCTTATGAGATTAATGGTAAAAAATTACAACTAATTTAATTATAAAATGAATTTTATTGACAAAATAATTTTATATTATTAGTTAGTTATAGACATCATGAAAGGGTAAAATAATTTTATATTATTAGTTAGTTATAGTTTGATGCAAAAAAAAATTATTTTTATTTTAATAATCGATAAAATAATGTAAATGATGATGAATTGTCCATATAAACTTTTTACATTTGGGATATAGTAATTAATCTCTTATAAAATATAGAGTTTAAAGGTAGTGCATCTTAAGTGTAATACATTTTTATCAGATATAATCAATCAAAATGTATATAATTGTCCTGTAATATTGATGTTTTAAAATAAAAATATATTTTATTTTAATACATATTTGTGATTGATTGAGAGTGTAAATAATTCATTTTCTTTTTTTCTATAAAATAATACTCTATCTCAAAATATATTTCATTTTAATAATTTTACATAAATTAAAAATATATGAGTAATGTTGTATAAAAATGAAAATATGAGTTATTTTACAAAAATGGTATTAATTAATGGATTAAAGAAATAGTTGGACTTTTATAAATTAAATCTCAATTTTCCTTGTATCTTTATCTTTTGATTCTTAATAAAATTTCAAAATGTTAATTTGGTGACTTCTTATGTTGACCGTGGAAGTAGCATCTTTTATTAATCTAAATTATTAAGTATTTATAATTTATTTTTAAAGGATTTAAATGGTTGTTCATCAAATAAAGAAGGAGATAATTGTGAAAATGAGTTTGAACATGCACTTTCTAACTTGAAAAGAATATTAATCACATGCATTTTCTAACCTTAAAGAGAATATTAATATTGATGATGAATAATATTTTATATTCCTTTAAATGTTTAATTTGTTCTTAATTGAGATTAATTTTTTTTTATAAATGTGGATAGCAAAGTTGGTGGAGATGGGTGTTAAACCCACACCCCTTTTAATACAAGGTCAGCACCTTTCTACTAGATTGGATGTCTAATTATATAATTGAGGCAAAATACTTATTTTTGTCCCTTAACTTTAACTCGGGGTCAAGTTTGGTCCCTTAACTTTAAAAAGTGACAAGTTGGTCCTCTAACTTTTAAAATGGTGTCAATTGAGTCTTCACTGTTAGTTGTCCCCAAATGTCCGTTCATTTTGTGTACGTGGTATATGACTTGGCAAGTTATCTTCATCATGTTGTTTCCTTCTCCTTCCTCCTCTCATTCATACTGTTTGTTAATTTGTTCTTTCATTCTCCTTCCTCCTTCCCAATCCCAAATCCCAAAATTAACCTAGGATTTTTGTTTTTGACAAGCACGAAATCTGATTGTTCTTCCTCCATGTTGAAACAGGAAAGTGAAGATTTTGATGTTTGTAGTAGGTCACAATGAATCCTTTTCTTCTTTAACAACCGCCGTCGGCGACCCTTTTCTTTGGATTTTGAATCAAGCTTCAACAAACATTCCTCTCAAATCTCTTCTTCATCATTAGAAACAACACAACCAATTTTCATCCACCATTAATCATAAAACAAAATGAAACTCAGAATAGGCAAAGTGATGAGATGAGAATGAAATAGAACCCAGATCGGAAGAAAACCAGAGACAAACTTCAGTAAAAAATGGAAGTCGTATCAAACCTGGGTCGGAGAGAGCAGGTCACGCGAAATCCAAACGATTGGAAGGCAAAAACAAAGTGAGATTGAGACGAAAAGAGGAGAGAGTGGAATACTGTTATGCGTGGTCTTGATGTGGTCGAGAAAATCCTGTGCGATTTAAGGTGAATGTCGCACCTGTTAGTTAGAACGGTTGTTGTTCTTTTGTGGATAATAACCTTGCCTATTTTTATTTTAATGTCAGTTTTTTTGGGAGTTTTACTAGATGTTGGACTGTGGTCATTTTGCTGAGAAGGAGGGTGGGCTTTGACCAAAACCGTTTAAGTCTCACTTCTTTGTTCTCTCGGTATTGTTTTGATAGGTGTTTGGGCTTTGTAACCCATAAGATCCTCTACACTACCTTTATTTCAAAATGTTGTTGGGACTTTGTATATATTTGAGTTTTTAATTCAAAGTTTTGAATTTTTTAAATAATAGTTATTAAAAACTTCATCTTGAGTTTTTGTTGTTGTTTTTTTAATTCGTCTATCTTTTTCTATTTATTATTTATTTCTACATAATTTACTATTATATTTGGATTATTCTTTATTCATTGTCGATTTTATTTATTTTTGGGTCAATGACGAGACCTCCACAAATCATTACTAGTCAAACTATTGATAAATAATGATGAATCCGAGACCACCTTCTTTTCTCTTTCAATTTCTTCTTCATTTTCGATTTTATTTATTTATTTCGATCTATGAAGTCTTTTGATTCGCGAACGTTGGTTTTCAAGGTTGATAACCTTCATTATTTCAAATCTGTAGAAAATGATCATTTAGATGATTTTTCTATACTTTGGGATCGTGAGAGGTTTCCCTCGATTAATTAACACGAGTTTGTGATTAAGACGAGATCCCACCCTTCTTTTGTCTGTGCGACACGATTTTAATCGGAGAATGATCCTCAATATCATTTCTCTATCTTGTTTTCGAGCACGGATATCAGTTCACACGACCTCCTATAGTTCGACTTTCATAATAAGTCGAGCTAAGACGGGTTAGCGTTACATTTTGTCCCGATTTAATTCAATAACAAACTGACAACTAACTTTACTTTTCATAATATACCACTGTTTTATTTACAGTCGATATTATCTTGTTCATGTACTCATTGACATTTATTCTGATATATTATTGTAAATATTCTTGTACATATTGCTATATATCCTGCATATTATTCATATCTTGTATATTCATATTCATCTTGTACATTCTTTCAAAACACCTAATAACTATCGAAACCATAAAATTCTAAATTGAGGGACTGTTGATTGTTTGTCCGAGTGACGGATCATTGGACATTTTCAGGAACCCTAGCATAGAGTTGTGCTCGACTTTTTCTCAAGGCTTAGTTTAGGGCACATTGCACACACACGACTTCCTCTTGGGCTACCTGACAATGAGACTTTTTATTTCTTGCAATCCCGTGTAACTTGCATGTACCCCTATCCCATTTTGATGTACGTATTTCGTATTTTTTTGACTGCGGCTTATCTTCTAGAAGCACCCCCAGGGACTAGTATAACCATTTCCAAACTAATTCTCAATTCGTCATCGAGCCATTTTCAAACACCCCTCTGTAAGTCGAGTGCTCGTCCGCATTCGCCATCAACCTATCGCACACATTATTGCACTTCACTGTGGTTTCGATATTAGGAGGACCCCCAAGGACTAGTATCGTTTCTCACACCTTATTCCTTGACTCATCGTCAAGCCGGTTCCGTTTTCAATCAAAACCCTCGACCCGTTGTCGAGCCGTTTTCAAACCCATCTTCCATTCTACCCTATTTTTGCACACAAATACAAGTCAAACCTTTGATCTAATGTCAAGCGGATTTTCTCAACAAACTGCCAAACCAATTCACCACCTGTTTTCTTTTACAACTTTTCTCCTAAAACCTTGGCCTCGTACCAAGTGCATTTTCAAACTTTTTTCCTAATAAAACTTGAATGGTCGTGGAGTGGTTAGGCGTAGGCATTCTCCTATACCGAGTGCTTGACATTACCTCTAGGGTTCACTGTTCTAAAGCACTTACCATTCAAGATCAAAACATCTTTTATAAGAGAATAAAATTCTCTTTGTATTGAACTAAAGAGAGAGGATTTAGTGCATACTTCTTCCTCTCTGAGTGTCAGGATACTCACTATAGAGTGTGTGGTCTCGATACTCGTCTTTCAATACGAAGACGTGACTATATTTGCCACACCTTTTCACAATAACTCTTTGAGATAAAGAATTGGGTACTACCCGTAAGGGATTACTATCCGAGGACCTATTTCACCCCTAAAAATAACCTCCACAAATCAAATGTGACATCTTGCCTTGAAGGCGAAAACTATCTCATCTTTTCAAAAGGATATGTTACGTTCGTTCTACCGCAAACAGGTAACGCCTAAGACTCCACAAGCGAGCAGCAATACACCTAACTGCTAGAATGCACACACTAACATCATCCACAAAAACACCAGTTAACCGTAGGCCGAACTACGACTGCTCTGATTCTTTACTTCTTTTAAGTAAAGATACGTAGGCACAAGGGCCCCAATCCTTGTCGAGCACACTTTCCCATCTCTTACCCGTGGTTCCCCAAACTACGTTGACTCTGACTTTCTCATACTTGATAAGAATACGTAGGCATAAGACCGCGAAGTCCTACCGAGTCTCTTCTCCCCCTTTATCTCTCCTTTCCCTGTTTCTAACCTTTCTCTTTATCCTTTAGAACACTCTTAGAAAGCAATATCGTTAGCAGATACTTCCACACATAGACAAACAAATGGTTCTCATTGAGTACGATGGATGCGAGGGGTGTTAATACCTTCCCTTCGCATAACCGGCTTCCGAACCCTTTCTCTTGGTTGCGAGACCATCTTATTCCTTTCTTCCTTGGGGTTTTCTCAATGTTTTCCCTTCCCCTTTTGGGATAAATAAAGTTCGATGGCAACTCTTCTGTCTTTCCGTTCTCGCCTCTCCGTCATTGCACTTTTCGAGTAAAGACAACGTGTCTCCGCGTAGGGGACACGTTAAGAATGTGTGGGAGGTCGGAGGAACCCTCTGAGCTGGATAGGGTCTTCCCGACGGTTGGGCAGAAAAAAGAGCGTGCCTGGAAGACGTGAGGTGCCTGCTCGACTTCCAAGAGGTTCGTTCCCGACGAGAGAAA